TAATCATTAGTTGATTTTATCAATGCGGTGCGGTTTAAACCGCAATTTTGTAATCGTAAACCGCAAACCATACCGCATAATGTTGTTTAACAAAAATACAAACCATAAACCGCACCGCAAGTGTTTTAAACCGCGTTATGAGGTGCGGGCAGTTAATGCGGTTTGTGCGGTTTATTGCACATCCCTATTAGTGACTGATAGTGTGGTGTCTGAACATTTTTGCTAGTCTGGATGTATTGTTATAGTTTGTTTTGAAGTGTTTGATGTCTCATTTTTTTTTTTTTTGAAAAGGGAACTGTCTAGCAAAATATATTCCAGAAAAACTAATTACAAAGATTTTAAATCAAAACTTTTTTCAACACTACACAAAAACAAAGGCATAGCTATGTATATTTAAACTATTTTTCTTAATAATAGTATTAGGTATATATGAAAAAAAGAACCTTATAATGTTTTAAGGACCTATCTTATAATCTTTGAAAAAAAAAAAAAATTATTATGTGTGAAGCTCATATTTTATATATTTCAATGCATTTAGAATAGCTCAAAGCCTTAATCCACTTCAAATTCATTAGGCAAATAGCCTAATCCATATAGATTAAACAAAAAAAGAAAAAAAGAAAAAAAAAGGCCTTGTAGGTTGAAGCTTGATCAACATCTTCTAACACATCATGCACATTGTCGCCTGATTGTGGTCGCTTCTATCGTCCAACCATTGTCACCCCTCTGCTAGGTGCTACCATGCCAAACCTCCGCCCCTCCGGCAGACCAACCTCCTACATCCACAATCCACTCAGGTTTGTTATAGTTTAGTGTTGTATATTGAAAAATGTGTTTTAGAAAGTATCGAAAACAATACAATTATGAATAATATTGAGAGATATAAGACCTCGGAGTCTAATTGTAAGAATAATATTAATTGTTATAACTATTGAAGTTATGTTTAAGTATTATAAGACATATGATCTGACCCAAGATCATTAATAATTTTTTTTTTCGGATTCACTTACATAAGAAACCACATGAATTTTGGTTATAGATTAACCATTACATCAGCCCTTCCAAAAAAGTAAATAAACCAAATATATACAAAATACCAAAAACTTGTTACCAGAAAACAAGACTCTTACCAAAAAAAACAAGACTCTAATAGTGATGTGACTTTTAAAAAAAACACCACTTCAATTTCAGAACAATTTTTGCTCCATTGCACATTTATCCTATCTTCTTTTATTTCTCAATCCTTGATCCTCCAGCCAAAATTCTAACAGCCGAACTCAAATACTCAATTACTTTAGCTTGAATTTTTATCCGAACCATTTGTCGATACAAATCTGAAATACATTATAATAAATTCGTTAGCTGGAATCTCGCAACTTTGGAAGACCCTTTTTTCCTAAAATCATTTTGGTGTCTTGATCATTTTCTTTATCGGCTTATTTTCTTCGGTAATATGTTCGGTTTTCTTCAAGGCTTGTTTCATCGGGTCTATTAGCTGCTGGTCTCTAAAACGGTTCTCTCAATTCGTCAATGATACCATGTAAAATTTATTTTTTCTTCATTTATACAAAAGTAAATACAGTGGGTTACAAAAAAATGACCCCAGTAATATTGCAAAGAATAAACCCACTATTTTGGAAGGGAGCAATTTAGTTCTACGATATAAATGACCAAAAATACACGAGAAGAATATTTGGTTTCTTTCACATTCTTTCCAAGTTGATTTATCATCTGATGAACAGAAAATGATATATATGCAAGAAAATACAGAATTCCCAAAAATATTATTACCACACAGAATTACAAGAAATGAGGAGATGGGAAGGTAACGGATTTCACCTATCTGGACACTCACGTAACCTTTTTATACTAACAGTAGTACCCTCTATCTATTGAGAGAAAATCCTCTATCAAAAAGAGTAGAGGCTTGCATCAGATAATCTTTGAGAGGGTATAGCTATAAGTGGTTTCCTTTTCTTAGCCACAAGTCCAAACTTGTCAGAAAGCTCAAACACTTCATCTTCTGGCAAGCTCCAGTCAAACGAGTGCAACAGGGATGCTAATATATACATCAACATCTTCTCCCCAAGTGGGATTCCTGGGCATATTCTTCTCCCTGATCCAAATGGAAAAAACTTGAAATTATTTCCATGGTAATCCCATTTGTCGATCAAGAACCTCTCAGGCTTGAACTCCAATGGATCGGTCCAGTTCTTAGGATCCCGGTGGATTGCCCAAACATTAATATAGACGATAGTACCCTTTGGAATGGTGTATCCGCCAACAATGCAGGATTCATCTGGGCATCTGTGGAGTAGGAGCGGAACGGGAGTGTGTACCCTGAATGTCTCCTTGATGACTGCATCCAAATATTTTAATTTGGGCAGATGAGATTCTTGGATAACGTTCATGCCAGTGACCTCCGTTAATTCATCCTGGACCTTTCTCATTAAACCTGGATTATTCAAAATCTCTGACATCACCCATTCTACCATTGTCGATGTTGTGTCTGTAGCCGCAAGCACGATGTCCTATTATAACAATGCCTTATTAGTTGTGGAGCGGAATAATTAGTGCAGTTTGTAGTTACAGAAAGAATCAAAACATATATAGAGAGACTTAATTACCATTAGTAGGGCCTTTATTTTAATGATGTCCAATGAAATTGAAGCATCTTTCTGTTCCTTAAGCTCCAATAATACCTGCACGAAATCTTTCCTTCGATCTTCCTCAGCCTCTCCCTCATTTTTGCTGGAGTTGGCTTCGATTCTTCCTTGGATAATGTTCTCGAATATACGATCAACATATTCCAGTTGTCTCTGCATTTCTCGCTGCCTTCCTTGTAGATCGAACGGTGATAGCAGAGGTAGAAAATCAGAGATGTTTGGAGCTGTCATTAACTCCACAATCTTGAACTCAACTTCTCGGAAGCCATCTCCAATAGAGCTAGAATCGTTCCCATCACCAGATAATTTGCTACAACCCCATAACATGCTTGTCACAACGTTAACCTCAGTCTTGAAAGCAATTTCATTAATATCGATCCTTGTCCCGAGCTTACTGTAAACTTCTTTCACCAGCCTTCTGACTTCGTATGTTCGGAAAGTCTGACAAGCTTTTAGATTTTTATCGCTGATAAGTTGAATTGCTAAAATCTTGCGCATGTTACGCCAGTGTGTGTCGCTGTTGGACCATGCAATATCGTTCCCACCATAACTCATGGTTAGCGCTGCTAATGGAGGACTGCGGTTCGCCATGGTCTGGTCCAGGTCACGAGTCACGACCTTTACTAGGTCCATGGAGTTCACCACAATATGAAGCTTGCTTCCGAGCCTGAGACTGAAGATGGGGCCATAACGGTGAGCCATCATAGTGAACCTTTCATGCAAGTTGGAGCCGAGAAACGGGAGATACCCTACAACTGGTAAGCCTTAGGGACCTGGTGGTAAGGGTGGTATGTGCTTTCTGGAATACGATATCCATTTGTACCATAGAAGTAGTAGTGTCGGAACTGAAATGGTGAGAACTGTGCGGGCGAGCTTGTCTAGCTCATTGTCGACTTCCCACCACCATAACAACAAGGTGTTCATCGTGAAAAACATCTTATATCCAATTTCTGGTATCATTTATGCTACAAATGATAGGCAACTTATGAGGAGGCCTGCTAGTTATATAGCAGGCATGGTTGATTTTGGACCACGGACATTCGGCAAGCACATGCCAACGCATGAGTTATGTGGTTGTGCTTCGGCTAACCCTAATATTTTATGAAATCTGTTATTATTATTTTTTTTATGTTAATAGGGAAACCTGTTAAAAATAAATAACTAACATGTCTTTTGTCAAGGGTAACATAGAAACATTTATTTAGTTTGTATTGTTAACTTGGTATCTTTGTTGGTTTAATTAGGGGTGAATGCGGTGCGGTTATTGGGCAAAACCTCACCACTAATCACAAATACGGTTAATCCATTTTCGAAAACCGTTTGGCGTCGTTATTTTGCGGTGCGGTTAGACAGTTATTTTTGCGGTGCGATTTTGTTTTTTTTAGTTTCGGTTATTAACCGCATAGATTTGGTGTGATTATTTTGTGTGATTTTTAACCGCAGTTTAGAGTTCAAACGGTTTTAAGAGTTCAAACATATTATTTGTAATTATATAAAATAAACCATATAGTATAAGACAATTAACTTAAATCACAAGTAACTAATATCATAAAAATTTCAAGTCACTAGTAATTAACAATAAATATCTTAAAATTGTTAAAATTCATCATTTTTCAAAGTTAAACATAACAAAAAACCAACATTTTTGTCTTCTAGAATTTTATCATTCTTTTATTCATGAAACTTATCTTATTTTTTAATATTTAAAATATTAATAATGAATAAATTTTTTTTTATATAATATATGTGGTGCAGTGCAGTTTTTTTTTGCGGTTTTTGAAAACTAATAACCGCACCGTACCGCAAATTTGCGGTTTTTGAAAAACAGAAAAGCCCACCATCGGTTTTTACTACTGTTGCAGTTTATGCGGTTTTTACGGTTAATCTTAGTTTCGGTGCGGTTTTTGCTCACCCATAGGTTTAAGTATTGGTCATTTATGTGTAGTAGTCATATATATGTTGTAAGAGTGGGAGAAGTTGTATATGGGGCATAAAGTCTGGACCAGGATGATGTATTTCAAGGAAAAGCATAAACGGTCAAGTGGTGCATTCCAGTGGACTGCGTCTCAATTAATGGAAAGATAAAATTGAAAGTGTGGGTTATTTAACCCGCAATTAATTTAGGGTTTACCCATGATATGATATTTAGTATGACTAGGGTTCACTACCAGAAATAAAGGCAATAGCAGCGGCAGGCTTCGCTGCTAAAGGCTTGGTATGTCGCCGTTTAAGCGATTTGCGGCGGCCTGTCGTCGTTGTTACCTCGCTGCAAATGCTTCGTATGTCACCGCTAGTGCTCACCGTCGCCTCTAATGCATACAATCGCCGCAAAAAAACTTGTCGCCACTAATACCTATACGTTGCTGCTAATTAAATTTTCCGTTTTTTTTGGTCTATCATTAAAATTTAAAAAAAACAATATAACATGTATAAAACCTGCTATGAATCTTTATTATGCAAAAAAATAGTTCAAAACATTAACCACACTTAATACTATTTCCGATCCAAAATATCCAAACGTTGTGCAACATATCCAAAATACTAACAAAAAAAAACATTTCATAAATCCTAAAAAAGTAGCTACTCGTACTCATCACTACTCCCCTCGTTTCCTTTGTTTTCATTTCGTGACGGCAACGATCGGAACTAGTCTTCTAGTGTCGCACTACATGCTAGGTCTTTTTAGCATTGTTTATAGCATTTCCAACTACAAAGAAAACAAAATATATTACCAACATATCATAATAGCATTGTACTTTCCAAAAATTACTAAACTACAAAATATCAACATATCAAACTATAACCAACATATCATTACAACATTCTACTTTCCAAATACACTTAAACATACATCATAAACAATATTGCATATACATTATAACATTGTAATTTTTTCAATTATAGCATTGTACTTTCCAAAAATTACCAAACTACAAAATACCAACATATCAAACTATAACCAACATATCATTATAGCATTCTACATTTTAAATACACTTAAACATACATCATACACAATATTGCATATATATTATAGCATTGTACTTTTTATTTTATTTTTCAATTATAGAATTGTACTTTCCAAAATTTACCAAACTACAAAGTACCAATACATCAAATTATAGCATCCTACTTTTTTTTCGTTTTTCCATTATATCATTATACTTTTCAAATACACTTAAACTAACAATTACATGTGATTGTTGTGGTGGTTATGTCGGTGGTTGTTCCTGATCGTACATAGACACAACCGTAGAAGGTTTACGCCTAATGCCTCTGATATGGCCTTGTCGAACACCCAATATTCTTTCAAAACAATTTTGTATATCCTTTGCTGTTAGACTGCTCACTTCAGAAGAAGCTTGAGTTTGTTGACTGATCTCATGGAGTAATGTTGGGTATTAGATGTTGCGTCATTGGGCCTTTTACTTAGTCTTTTGTATTATTGAGTTGGGCCTGTCCACTCGTTATTAATTCTAGGGTTAGAGTATTTAAGGTGCATGCATGCATCGTATTTTAGAGAACTTTAATTATCACTCTGTAAGCCTAATCACGCCTCTATAGTAGCAATTCCTTATCGAGTTCTTATGAGGCGTGACATTTAATCATTCCACATTCTTGAATTATCATTGTGTTCTTGATTTACTTGTTCTTGAATCTAATCGATCATTAATGATATTAATCCTAACAATTGGTATCAGAGTAGGAGACTGTGTAATCTATACGCATCTCTTCTGTTTATAGAGTTTTAGGGTTTCCGTTAATAAAGGATCTAGTTCAGTCGTCTTCATTGTCACATTGACGGCTTGAAGTGATCTTGATATTACCCTACAAACAATCTCAGTTTACACGTCTGATTCTTTATAGGTTTCAAAGAAAATCTCATCATGCAACAAGACGATTCCAACCTCAACTCCATTAATATCTCAAGCAGTATTGGATCAGCAACAAGGATCCCGATTCTCTTCCCTTGTGAATATGAAGTTTGGGCGCTCCACTTTGAAGATTATGTTCTAGGTTCAGACGGCAATGGTTATTTGATATGGGAAGCTATTACTCTAGGTCCGTTTGTCCATACAGAGACCAAAAGAACCATCAAAACTCAGAAGGAATACAACCAACTGCTTCTTGATATGAAGGATGTTCCCCAAGACGAGAAAGATAAATTGATCAGCAACGTCAAAGCAATGAGATTCATTAGATTCGCTTTGCAAGCGGACACTTTTCTTCTTGTCAGTTCATGTGATACTGCGAAAGCCATCTGGGATAGGCTCAAAGAACTTTACTCCACTGATGCAGATCTTGAGCACTCTACTCAAACACTCCTGCTTTTGGAGTTTGGTGCTTTTGCGCAGAAGCCAGAAGAAAATATGAGCCAGACATTCAATCGCTACAATCATCTTCTTACCAAGATGATGAAGCATGGTATTGGACACGAGTTGATCGAACAAAAGGTTACTTTCATGAATGGTCTTAGATCTGAGTGGATGGCAGTGGTTTCTACCGTCAAAGCACACGAACAGTTCAAAAGTTACACTTTAGCCATGCTTGTTGGGATTCTTAAGGCTCATGAAAGTGAAGTCTCCAAAGAAGCGAAAGTTGTTTCTAGTATGGGGTCTCTAGCTCTTGTCGCGAAGGGCAAGACTGTTGCAGAAGAAGAGCCTGAGTCTGATCACTCCGAATGTAATCTCACAAGCGAGGAGTGTGCTTTAATGGTCTCAAATCCCAAGCGGTTCGCAAGAAAGAAATTTGCATCAAACTTTAATTATCACTCTGTCACCCTAATCACGACTCTACAGTAGCAATTCCTTTTCGAGTTCTTCTGAGGTGTGACATTTTATCATTCGACATTCTTGAATCTTCATTGTGTTCTTGATTTACTTGTTCTTGAATCTAATCGATCATTAAGGATATTAATCCTAACAAGTAAAGCATTCTGTATTTTCAAAAACTAATAAACAACATAAAAATTAGATTACTAAATACCCATTGACGATAAAAACACTTATATGAAAATACAAAATAACCACTTATGTATTGTTGCTCGACTGTGGGACTACTAAATACCACTTGACGATCGATATTCACCTTATGAAATGCTTCGATTCAAGTGATGTCCTATTTAACATTAAAAATTAGATTAATTAGAATTTAAATACACAGTTAAATATATAATAACTTACTTCATTGAAACAAACATTGTTATACGAGCATGATCCCCCTCTGTTTACAATTTATTGTTATGCACATACTTCTTTGTTAGACGCCGAACGCTTTCAAAATTCGGGCGTTTGAAAATGTTCGACGACTTGCGCCAAATTTTCACGTGACATACCCTTCGGCGTGGGAGGGGGGTTGGCTAATGCCCTTGGGATATTTGGAAGCCCCTCGACATTTTGAAAATAAGTATGCGCTTTACTTTTCCGGCCTCTGTAATTTTTTTTGTAGAGTCGCATCAATGCTCCACAATAATTGAGCATGCTCGGGATCCAAGTTAACCTTATCCAAATCAAACTTTTTCTACAAATACAAAAAAAGTTAGTTAATTTGTAGTGGTGTTGATTATGATGGCATGTGCGGAATTAGAAAGATCTAGTGAATCATCATGTAAAAT